CAACAAGTCCTACAAGCGGAACAGGACTACTGACACCTGCTCTGTGTTGACTGATCAAACGTCTTGTCCTCTTGATGTTATATATATGATAAACAAACAAGGACACACTAGACAGCATAAACATCGAAAGCTTTAGTAACGGTGCCGGGAATCGAATCTGTCACTTCCAAATGGCGTGTGCGCCTCGCTATGGAAACACGTGTACCAAGAACATGATCAACTAGGCACCTCTAAAAAAATGATGTCTTCATTGGACATGTCTATCATACAGCTTGAAATCCACAACGATGGAATACGGACAGAATTCATCTCAAACCATTGAAATGGCACCATAGGTTACCGAAATTTACATTATTGTCTAGTGTGCCCTTCTATCGTTCTGCTTCTTTCTATGAGTGATAATCAATACATTGTTTGTTTATTATAGACATAACATTTCTACGGCCTCAGTAGCCCCCCCCCCCCTGTGTTTATGTATTGTCCCCCTGGTGAAGTGTTTATTGGCTCTAGGGTACACTCCATGTTCATTAGCCGGGACAGGAAGGCGGCGTCATGCCCTTTACCGTATTGGTCTTCACGGTATAAGCTGCGCAAACACACGAATCTGAGTTTACCCCTTATGGTTCATTCTTGTCTTACAAAAAGCCTAGCCGCCTTTCGAGAGTGTTGCACAAAACAAGAACTTCATAGTTTTAGTGAAGATGCCTGAAAATCTTCGTAAAACTCGCAGTCGCCAGACAAGAAAACGAACCCATGACTTTCAGTGAATGAGGCAAACAGTTTATGCGTGGAGTACAATACACGGCCATGGTATTCTTATACACGTGTAGGGAACATGGGAATGCAGGTGAGCAAGAGGTTATGTAGACAGAGGTACAAGTGGGTTGTCAATGTCAAGATACGGACTTAAGCAGTTTGTTAATGAATAAGTTTTACCCAGGCCTTTTTTCTAGTAAAGTGTCTTAACAGGTGCCCGCACTCACCATAAAGTGTCTATTACAATAGTGCTGAAAAAGTGATACATAAAAAGGTGCCGATCTTCATATCACCAGAAAAAAGCCCTGGTTTTACCAATGAAAGAGTTCTGCTACTGAAGATCCATTGATGTCGGGCTTCTTCGTGGAAACGGTATCTGATCGGTTGTGGCTTGGGACGGTGGACAGTGGGACAGATTTTCTGAGTCCGGTTTCAAAATTAGCAAGAGCCGTGTACACGATAAAAAAATAGGCGCCGCCAAGGTCGCATTTAAAATGAGAAAACACCCTTACAACAGGACAACTAGAGAATCTAAGTACAAAACATGGAAGGTGGAAAATGGGGGGGGGGGAGGGGGGGGGGGGGTTACCTGAAGATGAGGAGAAAACAAAACAGGGAGAAGTTGATGGAAAGAATGATAAATAGGAGAATCAGAATAATATGGAAGAGGCGAAACGAAAAAGCAGGAAAAGATGAAGGTAATTAGTAAAGATGAACGGGGGGAAAGGTGGGGGGGGGGGGGGGGGGTTTGTGTTGACTTGTTTGTTTGTTTTAGTATCCAGAAGCCATGAGTTGTTAACCCTTAGGCTCGGTATTATGGATATCGCAAACATTCGGCCTTGATTCCATTGTAAATACCGTAAATCTGGGAGAAAATGTGGCTTTTCTGCCTACCCCCAGGAGTGAACCCGGACCACAAGGAGTTCGTCACCCGCTCACTGCGCAATCCAGTTTAGCCAACCACGCTAGAGAGCCGGGCGTAGTGTTGACTTAAACAGTCCAGGACGTTTGGCGTTAACGTTCACATTTACCCACATGTTTCTGCTACACACAAGTTAATGCCAATCAGGTCTAATGCTTCTCTAAGCTTTGATATCAAGCTGTCTAGTGTGTTCTGTTTAGCGGGGCCCCTCGATTTGTGTCTGTTGACAGACTTTTCTAGATTACCTGCTCTCACAACTTGTCCAAAAATGCCGATTATCTACCCTTGACACGAGTTATCTCCATGACTTGTTTTTCAAGACAATCGCATTCCTAGTAACGTGTACATGTGAGGAAAACTTCCTGATTAGAGTTTTATGTTTGTGTCTACTCAGATAGATTCATTTGAAAACATATGCCTGGGGAAACTGATGAACACACAATGGGATGAATTCAAAAAAGCTGGAGAAAAAAAGGATATCTGGACAACCATTATATTAGCCACGACCGGCTCCAGCTGACATCATCGGGTCAGGCTAACGATGCTTTAACGCAGCGGTTCTCAAACAAGAAGTACACTATTGTCGACAGTGGCGAGGGAAGACAACTTAAATTTAAACTTTTAAGTATCTACATGACTCTTACAATAATTTCACAATTTTAAACTAACTTTTCATTATTAGTGCCGTGGCACCATTGGCATACACTCACGCACCTCATGGTGCCCCGGCACCTAGTTTGAGAACCCTCTGCGTTAACAAATCATTAGCCCGATCCGATGACGTCAGCAGCACAGTCCTTCAGCTTGAGCCTGTCGTGTATCAGCAATGGGCAAAAGAAGATGGCCCTACCTACATTATTATTTGGCATATCTCGTGAGAAAAAGCAGGCAGAGCATCATAAAACAGGCACTGAAGTGGGAAACAGATGGACTGAGGAATAGAGGCCATCCAAGAGAAACCATAGTCCATTTGCCAGAATGGCTTCCTATTCTACCAGCTTCTGTAGCACATTTTTTCACAAGGTGAGGGAGCTGGCCTCATGCCAAACCCTCCTCCTTCTCATCCGGGCATGGGACCAGCAATGGCAGAGACAGTGTGAATAGTTCACACACTAACTCTACTGCAATGTCATTCTATAAACTATAAGTCCCTGCTACATAATCAAAGGTGGAAAGATTGGGTAACTCACACATTCTTGTGTGACAGGCTGTGTCAAGTGTTAAATATTGGAGAAGTAGTAGTAGTTAGTAGTAGCAGTACACAAAAATAAAATTAAACGCAGACAGTATTTGATGTTTAAACTGGTATATATTTGTAGTAATGTAATTCAGCTGCCAGTCTTAATTATAAGTAACATCATTAATGAATTGCAGAAATTAATAATTACCATGCACATCTAGTCTAGAGCACTCTATGGCCCTGAAATAAGGGCTTTAAACAAATGAACTGAAATGTGAAGCTTTGAAGTCACTATAGTTTTCACAGGATGCAAAGAATGAGCAGTACAGAACAGATCAAATGTACAAATTTTTCAAGACACAGAAAATATACAAATATCAAACACCAATAAAAAAGAAAGTTATCTTAGTTTGTTCAAAATATGAGACTTAAAGTCGGTAACTGAAAATACTGGATGGCAATTCTCAGGGAACAGGAAAAAAAAAGACCAGCAAGCAAGCCATGTGGGTGGGTATAAATTGATGCTGTGATGAAGAAATATGACTGAAAATGGAAGATAGTATAGAATCATGATAACATAACTTCAACAGTAGTCTTCATACTAATTTACCTATTAGAGTTACTTGATGACAACAATTGTTTGAAAGAAGTTAATGAAAGTAGATCTCTATACACAACAATAAGAAGGAGACAAACACTGTTTTCTGGCCACATAATGAGAAGAGAGGCATTGAAAAACATCAGGACAATTGGAAAGATCAGTGGAATGAGGGGTAGAGGCAGACCAAGAGGAGATGCTGGATGCGCTGAAACGATGACATAGAGGGATATCATCAAGACAGCTGCTCCAGGCAACCAGGGATCGTGATCAGTGGAGACGCATGAGCGCCTACGCTGGTTGGCAGGGCACATGATGATGATGATGACGACGATGACAAAGGTGATGTTGGCACCTCTCCATCTGTCCAGTCCATAATGTTCTTCTGTGGTCAGGCAGGCATGGAAATCACAGCCTATGGTGATCTCTTTCCTCAGCATCAAAGCTAAGCAGTACTGTTGAGACCACATGTTGCCCCTTAGCATCATCCCTCATTTGGTCTACTGTGTTAACTTCAGAGAAAAGGTAACACCAATATACCTGTGTGGGAGCCTCCATGGTGTAGCAGCTAGATGCTCACCTGCAGATCCCAAGGTTGTGGGTTCAAATCAACATGGAGATTGATTTTTTCAACCACAACCTTGGCTCTCAGGTAGACCCAGTCTTAAATGGGTACAATGCAAGGTCCTGGGAAATAAAGATGACTGGTGTGCTGTTGACTGCACCATCCATAGAAGGCCATTAGGTCTAAAAAAAATATGATTAAAGCCCATATCTGAGTCATATGTCTGATATACTGTCAGAGTGTAAACAGACCTTATTTTTACTTTTCAATGCATTTGGAAATTCTTCAGAAATTGTCAGATCAAATGAGCAGTGCTGTCTGTTGCCTATCGCAGCTTTCCTCCTAGACCAGTTGCCAGATGAGCAGTGCTGTTGCCTATCACAGCTTCCCTTCTAGACCAGTTGCCAGCCCAGGCTAAGGGCCTGGTTTGCACTGCATTAGCATTAAGCTTTCAGATCGAATTTCCTCATCCTAGGATAAGGCTAGTATCCTCCCCAATTCACTCATCCATCAATCCATCAACACAAACATAAGGTGTACATAAAATATTTTCACAGACAATATTATTGGCTAACTTCACATTATTTTACATAAACAATAACTGGCTAGCTGCACGTATTTCATGTTTAATGTTTGGCCAACTATAGGTATTTTCACAGACAATATAATGAAGTAACTTCTGTCAGAATTCATAGTCAGTGAACAAAACAAAAAATAGGATGAAGTCAGTTAAAACAAACTTCACAAGGTCCTTGTAGTTCAATCTTAGGTTGTCTGACATAAATGTGTAAATGAGGCAGTACTTTCATAATAAGTCATTGCCAGATATTCATTTACAAGCAGATCTGGTCTTGCTGTAAGCTGCAAGAGTAAACTGGCCATGAAGAGACATGGTCACTGAATTCATGAATTGTGACCTAGTGTTTGTGTTGTAGCGACATGCATCTGACATGCTGTAAGATTACTGCTATCTTCGATATCAGGAGCTGGAAGATCTGCGAGAAAATCTGGCCTGGAACTTTCCGTAGGCAGGTTTAGAAATGATAACTCGGACTATCAAAAATTGGCCATCTTTAGGATCTGGAACTGCAGATTCTACAGCAGCCTCCTGATAAAGCCAGCTGGAATTAGAAATAAAAAAAATACTAATTAAATTAAGGTGAGAAGAATGCAGCCAGAGAGAATTCTGTATGAATAATTATCTGAGAAGATAAGGCATTCATTTACTACCCTGGAGTAACAATAAAACAACTTCAGGTTTCTTTTCTGTGGCACATGCCATATATTCAAGCAACTCTGACCCTGTTGCCTCCATCTTCTATGGGTACTAGAGATTTCCCAGGGCCTATTTCTTTCTTATCCTCTTTTAATGAGAGTCAGCCACAACTAGAGATCCCCTGTATATCTATTACATTTACTTACAATTGTATGGTTCCTGTGTGGTAAAGGGAGGAGATGAGGATGTTTCTATCCACTGCATTACACACCCCCACCATCAAGCATGTCATAAAGGTGGCAAATTGTGGGCATTTCTTTCAAAGTCAGAGTGCACCTGCCTAAGATGTGAGGAATTAACAGTCTAAACACAAATAAGTCAGATGTGTAAAACAGATGTGCATGCAAAACTCCAAGTCTGGAACAAGACTAAAATCCAGAAGTGGATGAACAAGAACTTTCCACCAAAGTTTACAGATGGTAAAGGCAAAGAAAAAAGAAGAATAAATGGCAGAACTTAGCATTCCGTCACTGTTTGGAATCAAGGTACAACTTACATGAGCATTCCGTCACAGTTTGTAATCAAGGTACAACTGACTTGAGCATTCCGTCACTGTTTAGAATCAAGGTACAACTTACTTGAGTATTCCCTCACTGTGTGGAATCAAGGTACAACTTACTTGAGCATTCTCTCACTGTGTAACCAAGGTACAGCTTACTTGAGCATTCCCTCGCTGTGTGGAATCAAGGTACAACTTACTTGAGCCTTCCCTCGCTGTGTGGAATCAAGGTACAACTTACTTGAGCATTCCCTCGCTGTATGGAATCAAGGTACAACTTACTTAAGCATTCCCTCGCTGTAAGGAATCAAGGTACAACTTACTCAAGCATTTCCTTACTGTGTGGAATCAAGGTACAACTTACTTGAGCATTCCTTCACTGTTTGGAATCCTGAATGTCTTCTTCATATGGCCAGCTGTAGTTAACAGCATTTCTTCCAACTTGACCCCAAGGTCAGCCAGGCCTTGACCTTTGACAGCTGATATCTGAAGAATACCTGGGTCCAACTCGATTGCCTCCCTTGAAATTATTTATATAATAAAAAAATTTAACATGGAACGGACAAAAAACTGGTATGTGGAGTTTATATTTGTAAGTGTGCATGATGGGTGGTGAGTGCATGTTTTTTTAAAACTTTTACCAAGAAGTCACACTAGAAAGGAATACTGGTTTGTCAGACAGTCGTCAGGTGGTTGTGGAGCAAAAGCATAGGCTCTAGGATCGCATCCAAGGTAACTGACAGTTCCAGTCATGTGCTCGGTAATCATACATCATCTGTTCCTTGTAGGATGTTAATTTCTGACATCTTATTTCACTTTTGTTTCTAAAAGTCTGCTAACTGTTACTTTAACAATAATGTCTTTGGTAATAATTATTTTAACTTGTCTGGATCCGGTAACTGTCATGTTAACTTGTCTGGCTCATGTAACTGTCAGGTTAACTCTCTCTTTCCAGAAAGCTGTTACTTGTTTTTCAACAAGGATAATTTTCACATTATTAACCCCCCCCCCCCCATGTGAGAAAATTAGATACCTGTCCTCACTACCATAGAGATCATTGGCTGTCAATCATTTAAAAGCCAGCTAACAAATCTAGTCAAATGCCTTGCCAAATATTGAAATTTGAACCTGGGGGACAATATAACTTGTCAACTACTTCTTTCTTCATCATCACCTTTGCCTGTTGCCAGCAAGCATCATGGGCAGGGACAAGTGGTGGCCCTGGACTTGATCCGTGGCCCTCCGTGTAAATGTAAAATATCCTTAAAGTTGTCAGTCCATCATTTTCTGTGGCACCCCCTTGCTCATGTACAACATTTTCTCAAGTGAGGTACCTGTGTTGTTGAGCTGGTGTTGTTGTTTTCCAAGATAATGCCTAAATCAGGGGTAGAAAACCTTTGAGCTGTGTTGTACTGAAGCTGCATTGCAAAGTCATCCAGCATACTAAATTAAGTCTAGCATGATGTTATATATAACAGGTATTGAAACAAAATAATTTTCTCTTTAAAGGAATTGTAAGCTTCCACTAATGTTTTAATGAGATCATATACCATGACCTGTCCAACGAATATAGAAGGAGGAGCATCCTGGGGAGTGGACACTAGCCTATCTTAGGAGGAGCACGAGGATTTCTCTGTGGTGAAGTGGTCAAGCCATTTGCCTTGCGCTCTGAAAGTCATGGGTTCGTTTTATGGCTGTGCCTTTCAGTTTGTGAATGCAATTTTTACAGAGATCCCTGGGGATCGTTGCTGAAGCTACGGAGTTTGTGCTCTGTGCAATGCTCTTGGCAGGCGGCTAGCCATTCTGTGGAGACAGACTGAGCCACACGGGATAAAACCTAGTGTAACGAAGTTGATACTCTCGACTTTAACTTTTTAATCTAGGATGAGGAAATAAAATCTGTTACAGCAGAGCAGATTGGACCCTTAGCTTTCCCAGCAGCTAGTCTAGGAGAGAAATTCCTATAGGCAGGCAGACAGTAACAGCAATACTCTTCTGATCTGGCAGTTTTGGTAGCATGCTGTGTTCCAAGCATACTGGTGTTGCCTCTCTTCTGTTAACAAAGTAGGCTGTGGGAGGGATCAAGCTGCAAAAGCAAAACTTGGTCTATTCAAAACTGCACAGGATTTCTGCTATGGAGAGCGGGAACTTCACCCACGGCCTTTAGTGGTATCAGCTCAGCTTTTGGCCCGAGACAATCCCCAGTTTCCAACATTTTAGCCCCAGCGTATACTTAGTTGAATGACCCAACTACAAGGCAATGAATCATGTCATCTGGAAAGACAGAAAGTTGCCAACATGTGCAGTATTTAAATTCACTAGGATACCATTAAATAACAAAAACATTCAGAGTACAGCACTAGGCAGACATGCTATAAATTGCAGACGTCTGGTCTAGACCTTGAAAAAAAACTCAGAGATGAATGGAAATTGTTAAAGAAACAAACGTACTCTTCGGTGATTAAATCAACTTTGTTGTAGACCTCCAGCATGTTTTGTAGCTTGTCTTCACCAAGCAAACTCTCCAAAGTTTTGTGTACGGACAGGATCTGCAGCTTCCTGTCTGGGTGGCTGGCGTCACGGATATGCAGAATCACATCCTGTAATAAGAAACACATTTTTATAGTTATAGACAAGTAAGGAAAAGAAACAGAAACAGACAACTAGGGGGAAAAAACAGACAGGCAACAAGGGGAGGCAGAGACACAGCAACAGAGGGACACAGATAGAGCAACATAGAGTTGTCTTCCCAGTGAATAAGAATTTAGAAACAACTATGAGAGTTGTCTTCCCTGTGAGTGAGAATATAGAAACAACTATGAGAGTTGTCTTCCCTGTGAATGAGAATATAGAAACCACTACAAGAGTTGTCTTCCATGTGAATGAGAATACATAAACTAAAGACTGGAGCTAAGTGTATAACATGGGAATACAAAACCATCAATCACATGCTGTCTCCACAATGAAGGTTGACTGTAATGGATCTCTAAGTTGTTTTCTCACCCTGGTTGTACACCTTCTAAGCCTGCTATTCATCCATCTCTTGATGTTAGCCTCCCACTTGCATCACTGCTCACTTCTTTTTTATTTGCCTTTAACTTTTTCCTTCAGTATGTCTGGAAACCACAAGATGATGATGATCAAATGATAAACGAAATACCTGAATTTGTGTATCCAACCACCGCTACAGTTGGCACACTGTTGTGAACTCTCGTCTGTCTCACCGTCTGCCGCTGGCTGTGCAGCTTTTCCAGTTCACATTTCAACTTTGATTCCCGGCGCTGCAAAAAGTTTGCATGAATAAAATCAGAAAAATATGATACTTCAACTCCTCATGTGGGTGGGTTCTGTGACCCCACTGGGAAAAAAAAAAGAGGGGGGAGAGGGATAGACCCATTGTCCCCTTCTCTTCATGATAGGCCCATATTAATTATGATAAACACCAGCTATTTTAAAATTTGCCTGAGAAGAAAAGTAATCCTAAAAAAATTCTAGACAGCTAGATATTTATTTAGAGGGCAGGAAAAAAGTGTGATGGCATTATGTTTGCCTGATCCTCAAGTGAAACTGGTGGCCCAGTAGGTTGCAGATGAGTTAAAGTGTGATGGCATTATGTTTGCCTGATCCTCAAGTGAAACTGGTGGCCCAGTAGGTTGCAGATGAGTTAAAGTGTGATGGCATTATGTTTGCCCGATCCTCAAGTGAAACTGGTGGCCCAGTAGGTTGCAGATGAGTTAAAGTGTGATGGCATTATGTTTGCCCGATCCTCAAGTGAAACTGGTGGCCCAGTAGGTTGCAGATGAGTTAAAGTGTGATGGCATTATGTTTGCCTGATCCTCAAGTGAAACTGGTGGCCCAGTAGGTTGCAGATGAGTTAAAGTGTGATGGCATTATGTTTGCCCGATCCTCAAGTGAAACTGGTGGCCCAGTAGGTTGCAGATGAGTTAACTGATTGGTCTGATAGTCGGCTGGCTGGGTGAATGGTTGGATGTGAAGAGATACGACTATTCTCGGAACATTAGGCCAGAACCCAGTACTTCCCATGTAGGTCCTGTGGCCCTATTTTAACAAGGAAAAACTTATTCATCCCCCCCCCCCTCTCCCCCAACAAGCAAATCACAAGAGGTCACCAATTAGGGTTTTGCTTTAATTTAATATGTTGGGTCGAATGGCACAAATATCGGTGCCTAGCTGTTAACCACAACATGCCAACCACCCTTTTGAGGGCAACTGCAAAAGAAGAAGAAATAAAAGGACAAAGAAGAGGAAGATGAAAGAGAAGACATGCCTGCAGCCTTCTCCTGCAAATAAAAAACCTGATAAGTTGAGCTAGAAACTACAAATTTTATAAAGAAACTTAAACATTAAAAAAAATTTTAGCGCTGACTGCAGTAAAGAAAAGAAAAATGGAAGTACATGAAGCAGATAACAGCATTACAGAACACACTACAGTAAACAAACAATATTACTTTGTGTTTCCCTGCTGTCTTTTTTTTTTTTTTTTTTTTTACAGATTTTACTCACAAACCAAACACACACACATTTGGACGGTCAGGAAAACACACACACACCCACACTAAATAAACTGACCTGCAGGAGCATACGCCTGTTATCTCGATGCATCTGACTCCCTGCACCAATCAAATGCATCATCTCCGCATCATAACCTCCGAGAATAAGCTGCATCCTGGATCTGCATTACAAGTCGACAGTAAGATGTTACTGTGCTGCTTTCTGATGTCTATTTGACTTCAGAAATTATCACATAGTAACATAAACAACCCAACTCTATCACTGCTGCTCTAATTCAATACTAAACATCCCCATATTGGTTCTTTGCCCTATTTTTTTTAAAAACTCTATCACTGCTGCTCTAATTCAATACTAAACATCCCCATATTAGTTCTTTGCCCTATTTTTTTTTTAAAACTCTATCACTGCTGCTCTAATTCAATACTAAACATCCCCATATTGGTGCTTTACCCTATATTTTTTTTTTATGAGAAAAAAAAAAACCAACAATAGATCTACTGCCCCCAAACAAACATTCTGTAAAAGGTAACTAACAAAGGGGTTTTGCTGAAACTGGATGTTTTGGGGCAAGAGGCAAAGATATTGCAGAATAGCTGTAAGCCATAACAAACTGTGCCAACCACCATTTTAATTCAAAATGCAGAAGAAAAACAGAGTGCTGAATGAACAATCATTATCACTCTCACACTAATATACACACAGTAATTTCTCATCATGATGGTATACAATCACCACCCATCCCCATCATGATGGCATACAATCACCACCCATACCTTGCATACCCATCATGATGGTATATACAATCACCACCCATATCTTGCATACCCATCATGATGGTATACAATCACCACCCATCCCCATAATGATGGCATGCAATCACCACCCATACCTTGCATACCCATCATGATGGTATACAATCACCACCCATCCCCATCATGATGGTATACAATCACCACTCATACCTTGTGTTTGGCAATGAAAGGTGCGAATATCACAGCCTAGCTGTAATCCACAACATGCCAACTGCCTTTAAACGGGCAAAGGCTGAAGAAGACAAGATTTTCTCAATTTTTAAAATTCTGTCAGGGCAGAGACCTCATGGCCTGCAAGACAATACTGACACTTACCTAATATAATGTATTTCTGCAAGTGCAACCTGCAGCTTGGCTTCAGGAGACTGAGCATGATCTTTAAAGATCTGAAGCACAAGCATGTACCGATCATACACAGGAAGACCCCAAGCCTCTTGTAACGTGTTAATCTGCAGTCCCGTGAGGCGATCGATTCCTATAACGACAGCGGTAATCGTCTTTTTTGATCTGACTTCACGGAGTAGAAGCTCAAAGTTTCCAGACCCAAACACATTCTTGGTTCTCTCAAAGTCAGTTCGTACAATTTTCTGGGCAGACAATAACATACAATGAGAATTATATGAGCACAACGTATAAGTTAATTCAATTCTAACTCCCCCCCCCCCCCCCACCCCTCCAATTTAAAAAGAGCTGTCATAAAAAGTAACTATTTATGTGTATGCTGAAAGATGTGTTGGGCCAAAAGGTGCCGATATTGCAGACTAGCCATAATCTACAATAGCGTGTGCAAAACACAAGAAACATATAGCCATACTATGAAGAAGATATTAGACAATGGAGGCAGAGAAAGATAGAAAAGTGGTAGTGGAAAAAGTAAATAGTCTGGCAACAAATAATAAGCAACATAATCTTCATGAAAATATCAGCTGAAATTGAGGAATTGTGAATAATGATTGCTGACAAAGCCATAGATCAAGCACTGAAAAAGAAGCCATGTTCTGCCGTGACCATATGTGGCTCACGGGCCACCAGTTGAATAGCCCTGCCGTATTGCACAACTATGTTAATTATGTAACGTTTTTATACCTTACATTAGAAAAAGAGGAACAGATGCAGGGCATGACAACAGTGTTTGTATGTACTTTTCATTTCACTGTCCTGTTGTGCCATTAAAGGCAACATAGGGCCTGTTGTGCCATTAAAGGCAACATAGGGCCTGTTGTGCCATTAAAGACAACATAGGGCTCACAATCTATTCTTCCATTCTACTCTATCCTGTGCAATTAATTCAATATCACGGATGGTATCCAGCTCAGCAGCTTTGGCCTCTCTCATCATTGTTCATTTGAGGATTTCTTTTGGGCGTCCTCGCCTTCTTAATTCCTTTATTTCTGATGTTAATGTCTGTTTGAATATTCTCTGCTTGTTTCTTCTCAGGATGTGTTCAATGTAACACCATCTTCTCTGTCTTATAACTGTTGATACTAACGGTTGCCCAGAAATTCTCTTATTTCTCATCCCTGTTGAATTCATTATATTTTTCTGCATGTACTTATTTCTGACAGTATGAAATGATACACAGTACCAGCACCTAATTTTATGCAGTGTTTTATTTTCAGTACTAGCACAATAAAAAATTTGCGGACAGCACTAGCACATATTTTAGGCACTTTGTGATGAGTACCAGCATCTTTCTGCCTTGAACAAAAGGCCACGACTTATATCAAAACTTAGCAACATAGCTGCAAATTTTCTTCCAAAAACAAAGGGCAGACAGAACCAAAAGTTAGTGATGTGGAGTATAGAGAACAAAAGGACAAATGAATGAAAGAAATAAAGGGGTGGGAAAAAAGAACAGAGAAGAAAATAAAGAAAATTTCCAATTTTCACATTCATTTACTAACCTGTTTTACAACTTTCCAATTGGGTAAAGTTCTTACAAGTGCACAAGTTTCTTCCAGTTTTAATTCTCGGGTTGTGAAAAGATATCTTCTGGATCCTGTCTTGATGTCTGGCAGGAGAAAAACAACAAAGACGATGGAATATAGACAAGGATGTTTGATTCTTCATCTCTGCTTTCAAGTAATCATTCTATATCACTTTTACAAATGCAGAGATGATAACCTAAATTTTTCTACTCTACATATTTTACTAATATTTCTCATACATTCTATACTAAATTACTTGGTCATACATGACAAAATTACTCTGTTGTACATACATATCTAAATCTGGGGGTGATATTCTATCACACCTACTGAATTACTTTACCAGAAAAACAGAGATGGGTATCCTATGTGTAGAATGGCTACAACTGCTCAGTAAGACTCAGACCAGTAGTATTTTATAGATTTTTGCCCAGGACATTCTGATATGTGAGGCAATGAGCAGCCTGATAGATTTGCTGCTGCCACTCTTCTGTGCCATGACCTACTAATATGATAAAGTGGACATGGTGAAGGCTCTCTGGAATGAAGGGAACAGTGCAATGGAAAAGAATGAGTATATGTACCATAGGAGACTGATTCAGGAGGGAATAGGCAGAGGGTCTGAATGTGCAGGCAGAGGGTATGAATGTGCAGGCAAAGGCAGAGGGTCTGAATGTGCAGGCAGAGGGTATGAATGTGCAGGCAGAGGTCATGAATGTAGCTACTTCAGTAAAATTTTAAAAATGCCCTCTACACCAATAAAACCAGCACAGTTAGATAGCTGTAAACAATCTTTTTCCAATGGTACCTCATTTAGGCTTGTATGTCATTTCTGAGCTGAGATATGTAGGTTTTTGTGGAGATGAGATGTAAGAAATAGCCGCTAAAACTTATGACCCAGAAACAAGAAGTTTTTCTCTGCGCAACCTACTGCGCAGTTCTGTATCGGCTTTGTTTACATTGGACTGTCATTGGTCAAGATGGCAGGCAATGAGACACAGCCACTGGCTGAGCCAGCGATTGCCTTAAAAATGTCACTGTACATCTACCAAGCCACCGTTCAGTAAGAAATTTTATACACAAATGTAAAATTGGACGGAGAATTCAATTATAACTAGCATTACCAGGACGAGTAACAGTTAAAGCCTAAAGCCAACCTGAAAAACTTATCGCTATTTTCAATCAAACTGATGTAACAGAAAAACAGAGGACGTCTGGCTGTCCTAGACATGCGCTGTTAATCGGATTCCTTCCCAATGTTTTCAGCCATTTAGAGTGGGTGAAAATCACACCAATCCCAAAATTTCATGAGAGATTAGGACCCATCCCGAAACCCCAGCCGACATTTCCGAAACAAGTTTCAAATGGTTTCCATGGTAACGGAAATTGTCGAAAAGATCGCAAATTTCCGAAACTGTAGTCCCTACATGAATGTGCAGACAGAGGGTATGAATGTGCAGGCAGAGGGTATGAATGTGCAGGCAGGGGGTCTGAATGTGCAGACAGAGGGTATGAATGTGCAGGCAGAGGTCATGAATGTGCAGACAGAGGGTATGAATGTGCAGGCAGAGGGTATGAAAGTGTAGGCAGAGGGTATGAATGTATAGGCATAGGGTGTGAATGTGCAGGCAGAGGTCATGCATGTGCAGGCAGAGGGTATGAAAGTGTAGGCAGAGGGTATGAATGTATAGGCATAGGGTGTGAATGTGCAGGCAGAGGTCATGCATGTGCAGGCAGAGTGTATGAATGTGCAGGCAGAGGGTATGAATGTGCAGGCAGAGGGTATGAATGTGCAGGCAGAGGTCATGAATGTGCAGACAGAGGGTATGAATGTGCAGGCAGAGGGTATGACTGTGCAGTGGAAAAGAAAGGCACACTTTAAATCAGGTTGCAGCTGGTACTGTCATTAGGGGAACTTTTCATTGGCCATATAGAAAGGAAACATAATGGTGGAGGAATGCCCTGAGTACAGTGATGCCAAATCATGGTGAGAGAATGCCCTGAATGCAGTGATGCCAATTCATGGTGAGAGAATGCCCTGAATGCAGTGATGCCAATTCATGGTGAGAGAATGCCCTGAGTGCAGTGATGCCAATTCATGGTGAGAGAATGCCCTGAATGCAGTGATGCCAATTCATGGTGAGAGAACGCCCTGAGTGCAGTGATGCCAATTCATGGTGAGAGAATGCCCTGAGTGCAGTGATGCCAATTCATGGTGAGAGAATGCTCTGAGTACAGTGATGCCAATTCATGGTGAGAGAATGCCCTGAGTACAGTGATGGCATTCTTGATTCATATATTTATCTGTTATCGGGACTCTATTATGAGTATGTATGGAAAAAGGAATGGGGGTGGGGGGAATAGATGAACTGTCCCCTTTAACAAGCATCAGTAAAAGGCGACTAATTAGGGGAGTTTCCTGAGTTTCCTTCAAAGTCAGAGTGCACTTAACTAAAGGGGCAGGGAACCAATAGTGCGCATATAAATAAGCAATGTCTGTAAAACGAATGCACATGCAAACTCCAATTCTGGAACCAGATTAAAGTCCAGAAGTGGACGAACAACCAGAACATTGCACTGGAGGTTAAAGCCAGTGAACGTTAAGGAAATTTATAAGTCATTCATTATTTCATCACATCTGAGTATTAGTTTTCACACGTGGCTGTATTGCTCTAACTATATTTGTGTGAATTACTTTATTCCTACCTGGCTGAATTACCAAGACTCTGTGACCCATGCCAGGTATGGTGCATATTTCTCTTAAATACTCCCCATACTCTTCGTCATCATTCTCTTCAGTGTTCAGACTGTTGTCAACATTTCCATTCTTTCTGTCGTTGTCATCACTGCCAGAAGCTAGTGAATGAAGGAAAGAATAGCAAGCAATAGCAGCATAATAGCAAATATATTGTCATTGATTTAGGCATCTAGATTCTTCTTAATTTGTTCATTCACATTCTAAGATTTACAGCCATATACAGTGCTGTCCGCTCGAGGCAATCTCAATTTCTGTTTCTTTTTGCTTGAATTCTTATTGGATAAAAGAAATTTCTGATAGGTATAACCATTACTTGGCTCCGGGGTGAGTTCTCTTTATCAGGCTGCACTGTATCAGCACTAATAACTGATTTAAGAACTGGCATTATAGCACACCAGACATACCCTAGGTGCTCCATCTCCTATAGTAAATGCCTTAACTCTTTGAGGCCCAAGCAACGGTGTGAGCGTTGATTGAGAAGTTCCGTTTTGCCCAAACAACGCTTTCATTGTAGATTGTTTGTCCCATATATTTTGCTTTGCACATGGCTCCGTACTTGTTTCTAATGTTCGAAAGTATGATTAAACTATTCAGGGAAAGTTACTCTGCCGAAATCCTTTCAGCTACATTCCCTATCAGAAGCCACATGTGCATAATCTGATCAGATTACAGTGAAATTTTTTTCAACAGTGCATTTTCTAAGTTCGTTTTCGAGTACCATGAATACCAATGTTCCCATCACAAGCACAGGTCCTAGAATGCGTCCTTCTGTGGCCGAAGCTCTGAAATTGTTTCAGTCAGACGTTAATTCTGATAATGATAATTCAGATTTTTCTGAAAGTGATTCAGATGGTGAATTTTCCATTGCTACCGTATTTATGGTGTAAGAGAAGGAAAGTGCTGAAAACAAAGAGATGGCTAAGCTGTATTGAAATCATTGCAGTTACAGTCTGTATATAACTGTACAAAGTAAAAAGTAAATAGAGTGTGTGTTTTCTCTGAAATTATGCTCAGCACTCTGTGAGAACTAAGAGCCCCTGAGTGCTAAACTACCCTAGAAACTTATCACAGCTTTGGAATTGTTAGGAAATTGAACAAACTTTGAAGTTTTGTTCTCAAATTTGGATATTCACTACTCTTGTGGCTGCAAAATTATGGTAAGTGAGGAATTTGTTTGTAAAATGTTGTTGTTGTGAAATTAACACCTGCTGAATTCTTCTTTCCTACTAACTATACAAAAAAAAAAAAAAACATATACTTATCATCAGATTCAAAATTTACATTGATTTCTCTTTTTTTAAAAATATACTTTTATTGGGATTAGAAGTATATTACATTCTCTATTGCCTTTCTTGATCACCCATCCTTCTGTCATTTTTGTAAAGGGAAATTATTGTAGGCCAAGTATGGCCCGGAAAGAGTTAAGGTGTAGATGCTAACTGTTCCTGTAGCACATATATCCCTCCTTGCCTGATCTACACCTAATTAAAAGTTTTCACACATGTCACACAGATATTATTTCATCCAACCTCGTGTCTTCTATAAACATTAGATTACAAATGGTCTTAAAAATGTCTCCTTTGTCAAGTACAAGTGTTTCTGTAGCTACAGAATATTAACTCTTTAATATCCTTGCACTCCTGAATATCTCGGATAATATATGCACGTAAGTTCATATAAAGGTGACGTATCAACATTGGTTCAACGTAATGCTTCAGCTCTCTTTCTTGTTCCTGTTTTATGACCAAGATCCCTTAGAAACCACTGATGAGAAATAAATTCACAGGTACTGATCAACATTAATCCCCCATGTGTGTGTTCTGGGGCAGGTCCCATTTTGTGGGTGTTGTGTGTGGGGGTTGGGGGAGGGCATAAAAAAAGAAAAGATCCACTGCTTGGTAACAAGCATATGGGGGGGGGGGGGGGGGGAGGAGAGGGCCACGAAAGGAAAGGAATACAAATTATGGAAGGGAGTTAAAGCAATTTTGGAATTTGTATTTAAATTATAAATACTGTCATTCGTAAAATGATAACATACATACCGCTTGAAGACTGGCATCTTTGTGTTAAATTCGTACACCCCGCAGAATTCTTAATCTTCCGTCTGCAGGCAACCACACCATTGTGTGTCGTGAAGTGCCTGGTTCCATAAGTTGTACGCGAACACCCTGTTTTACTTGTCAAACATCTATCTATAAAACTGATTTGTATTGTCTGACCATTAACATTAAAGACCGACTGGCGTCGGCGAGGAAGAATGACATGTGAATTTGGTCCGTGGATTTGCCCAGTTTGACTTTGGCACCAGTTATTATTACAATTATATTTATAACCTCTGTTAATATTCCGAAGAAGATTTCGACCAGCTACAAAAGTCATGTCTTAAAGTGAAAGTTCAATCCCAAATAGTGTAATATTTTAAATTTTTATCTTGCTACAAACTGGTGCACCAAGAAAAATGCAAAGACGAATATAGCAAACTTTTTAGAGAAGTTTGTTTTGTTTCTGCTATCGAAACATTTTAAGTAGTTAATCGTTCTTAAATTATTTCGCTACTTTTGTTTTTACAACAAATAGTTTCAAGATAGCAACGAAACAATCAGTAACGGTTTCTTACTGTTGTAGTGCTAGTGGTCGCTTTATGTATGTACAACTTTAATTATGTAATAGGCCGGTCGACGAATACACGTAAATTTCCTTGCGTGTGATCTCTAATGCTGATTGCAAGTGGGATTTCCTCTTTGCCTTGTGCATTTTTATTCAGCAAATACTCTAACAAATTGGCTTTTTCCGTCTTGGATTCAGATGGCCGTTAAAACGATTGGGGATTTGAGAGCAGCGTGTCCACATTTCGGCTAAGAATGCGAGAATTGTGAGTAAATATCGAACGGCCAGGCATGAGAGGCGCACCGGACATACACAAATCGTGTTAACCAGCATACGGCTGGTATAATTAACCACTAGACGCTGATGCATAGCCTATGTTAAAAAGGGAGAATGAGCCCTATGGGTGTGTCCGGAGTGGTGTGACGATAACTGTATCTCATAACTCTTCTTCTTTGTCTTCCTCTTCTTCTTCTTCTTCTTCTTCTTCTTCTTCTTCCACCCCAATTTTCTTGAGAATAATAGACTCCATATTTTTCGTCTTCTGTTTCAGCTGAGTTTCAAGAGCTGACATCACAATACTTGGAACATTTCCTTAAGTGCCCCATCCTGATTTTCAGCAAAAAGTTCAAACCCCGATGGTACCAGTAACAGATTGTATATTCGTTTTGCCTTTACTGTGAGTTTTGAACGTTGACTACTCTCTTCACACCATGATAATCTAATTGTGCCTCTGCACTGGCCACTCATTCCGAAAGGGCTGTGACAACATCTAGCCTGTCTTCTTCTTTGCGTTCACTGACTGTAACTCCGGCAGAAAGTTATGGTTGTTCCTCCATCTCTTGACTGTAGTCTTGTTCCAGAACCGAAATTTTGCGTGCACACACATTTTACATGTCTGACTTATTTGTATGCAGATTGTTGACTTCTTGACTCACAAGCAGATGCACTCCTACACTGAAGGAAGCCCCCCCCCCACCCCCCTCTTTCACCCCTAGTTAGTCTTCTACGACATGCTGGTATGGGGAGGCAGTGGGTCTATTCTTGTCTTCCCCACTATGGAGCTCCGGAACCTGCATGAGAAATCAAGCTTGTCATGACAAGGCTTACCACCGAGTGGTGCAGAACCAGCCAGTTAATCTGTCTATCTGTTTCCCAACACAACCTGCATGTCCTGGAGAAAATATTCGATGGATATTTCAAAAAATAAAAACATTTCTGCTCCAAGCAAGTCATCATCATCAAGTGCCTTGTCATCTGGCGTTGGCGTTCATGCAACTCCACAGATTTAGGTCTTTGGTGTTCTGGATCTGTTTCACTGATGATATTCCTCCATGCCACTGTCTTAAGTCATCCGTCATCGTTTCCCTTGGTCTGCCTCTACCTCTTCTACCAGTGATCTTTCCAGTCGTTACGATATTTTCTGTGCTATTTTTCTCATTACATAACCATATAACTTTGTTTGTTCCTTATCATTGTTGTATAAAATTTTATACTTTCATTAGCAATTTCCAAGCAAGTCACTACGTGTAATTAGTCTGTGCCGTGCCCTTTGAAACTATGTGTCTGTGATCACAATAATTTATAAATACAGACAACAGTTGACGACAATTTAAAGCAAGAGGAAATGCCTTCTGAGTGTGCTATTTTGTTTAATATATAGAATAAACATTCTTGTAAACTATACACGCGTTAAAATATGCAACACAGGTAAAACAAAGACAGATATAAACACATCAGAAGATAACGTAGACGATAACAAACCATCAACGAAATCTTTCAAGTTGTCATGTGAAATAATATACACACACAATTGCATGGCATATTGGGAAAAATAATTCAATATTAAGATAGATCTAAATAAAGTACATTGTAATTAAGACTGCTAATTACAGTATGTAAACAGTTTTCTGGGAAAACGTGCCAGAAAATGAAAAGTTGTTTAGAAACTGTTCTTTGACGTGCCATTTATGTTGTGAAATGCGAAACGGAATTGTGGGAGAAAGGTAAGTATATATACAGGTTTTTTTTTTTTTAAAGTTCTTAAATCAATCTTTGCCCCCAACCTGAAACCCGTGGTTAATTTCAATAAAAACGGTCAAATTTATATAAATATAATGTTGTTCATTCTGATCAAAAACATATCGACACACACACCAACACACACACACACACACAATGAAAAAAAGATTAAGACGTTATGGGAGTGTAACAGACTGGTGTGATAAGTTTAACCTGTTAATAATCTGAGTTTGGCGACACTTGCGAACTAAACCGACAGATTTGCTGATCGGGACTCTCCGCAAGTGGCCAGTGGATCGAAAAGTTGATAAAAGGAGAGGCTTAACAAAAAAAAAAAGCTCATACATACTGAAAAATAAAAGGATTAAGGAGACGAGGACACCCACAGAAACCCTAATACGAAAGTTGATGAGAGAGGCCAAAGCTGCTGAACTGGATTCCTTCTATGATATTAAATTGGTTACACAGGATAGAACGTAATAAAGGAATAGAATGCGAGCCCTATGTGACATATAATGGCACAACAGGATACTGAATGAAGAAACGGATGGATAGTAATTGAAGTTAGTTTTATAGAAGAAAAATACTTGGTGCGACAGGTAAACAGATAAATGTGTATGTAACACGAGCTGGGCGGCAAATATATATATATATATATATATATATATATATATATATATATATATATATATATATATATGCACAGTTTAATTAAATTAATACATAATTAGCAAGTGCGTACCATTGTCAGTGTTTAGACCAGGGAGATTAAAAGGAGAAACATAAGAGAAGAAAAAGACGAAAGGTGAGGAAGAGAAAAGAAATTTCATTCGTTTATATTTGTGGAAAATGTTTCGATGTGAAAGTCACAACTGGTTTCCAGAGAGGTTAGTGGAATACGGAGAAGAGGAGGCCACATTTGTAGAGTACATCAATAGTTGACCACGCGGATGTTCTCACTGCAGTCCGTACAGTTTGTGTTGGTGTTTGCTGAACATGGCATCTCTGGAGCGCTTTCCTGGGAGGTTGTTGTAGCGTCCAGTGTTTCCATGACTGTGTTGTCGTCATAGTGGACTCTAGGGTCAAAGCGGACCTGTTTAACACACTTGTATATCTTGTCGATATCCGCCTGATGGGGTACTTGAGTAGGGTTTGTACCACCGAGTGACGGTACTCCACACAGAGGGAAATATTTACAGTCTTCTTTAGTTTCACTGCTGATTTCTAGACGTACTGAATAACTAGAGCAGTGCTTTTTTAAACTACTTTTTAATGGACGGTTCTGCTTTTCTTGTTGCGTGTTATCTCTACATTCTTTTGTTTCCTTTAGGGATTCCTTATTTTGCAGTTTTCTGGAGTAATCTTGGTTGTATTGTCTGAGTGAATGGATTTCGTCTTTAGTAGGTTCTTCAGATACATTTGTCTGGCTATTTTCTCGCTTCGATGTAAAATTGGACATCCCAGTCTTACTTTTGGAAAATGTTTGGTTGGTAGAAGATTCACTCGTTTCAGTTGTTTTCATTTCGCCTTTACTTTCAGTGTGAATTTCATATGCACAGGACCATTTCTTTTCTAATAACATTTCAATTCCTTTATATTTGATCTCGTCGCTATCCTTGGAGGCTTCCAATCTCTGACTGGAAATTGATCTAGTGGTCTGAATGGTTGCCATTTGCTCGGGTATATTCCGTGGGGGTTGCCTGTTTGTATTTGTAACTTCTCCACTTTCCACTAATTTATCATAGCTACATTCCCGAAATATGTTCTTATCGATTATTGAGCTTGTATCTTTCGGTTTACAGTGGGTTTCGTCGCCACCACACAGTTTTACATTGCTTTCTTTCTCTTCTGGATGATACAACGTTTTTGATAGCGTTTCTTCTTCATCAAACTTGTCATCACATTTGTCTTTCTTCGGAGGATCATTCATCCGTACAGGCTTCTTTTCCAGGTTTTCTAGGTTCCCGAACTCATTAGATGACATCTCTTGCATCTCTTTAGTGCCCTGTGTACTCTGATCTGACCCCGATGACGTGGCGCCGACTTCTGCTTCAGCTCTGTTGGTTGCTGTTCTTGCATCTTTAACACAAGAGACTTGTTCTGTGCAAAACGCCCCATGACATGCGGTTGAGTCACTATTTACATTGTTACAAGACCCTTTAGAAGATTTGGCTGTGGAAAACCATTCATAGTTTGGGAGGGAAGATTTTCTGCCTGTTTTTGTGTTTACATCATCTTGTGGCCTAGACTCGCAGACAGGATTCTTGCGTGACGCTAAATTTGATTTGTTTAAGCAGTCTAGGTTTGAGAAATCGTGGCTATTAAAGTGAGTAAAATCTGGATGTTTGTTGTTGCTACAATCCACCATATTACCTTTTAAAGTACTTCTGGATTTGGTATATGTCCCTAATTCAGAGACCGTGAACTGGCCTGCCGTTATTTCATACACTTTAAGTTTGTCGTATTTACAAGATAACCCTCTTCTCGGTTGTGTGCCCTCAGAACCACCACCTGTTATGTCCTTAGCTACAGTTTGGCCAGAACCTCCCCTGTCCACTTCTGACGGGATTGGTCTCACAGCACATACTCTAACTTGTCGAGGTTGTGAATCCGGACATACAGCCTGAACAGCACCAAAATCCATTTGGTCTTCTCGTTCCGGTAGAACCTCAGCATTTACAACCTGGCATTTTAAAGGTTCACAATTGTTCAGATTCCTACTCTCTTGCCCTGTCAACAGTTCACCATTGTTCTTAACCAGACACAAAGACTGGTTGTTTGTTGTATCATCTTTGAAATCTTCCCCAACACTACCTACCAGTTTTTCATCCTTCCCTGTAAACACATCTGCTGCCAATTCACAACAACACAGTTGATCTTGTCTTTGATATTCTGAATGACATCCGCTGGAGGTATGACTGTTGCAACCATCTACCATAGAGCCGTTACAGTCACGCTCTGATTTGACAGTGACCTTTTGTTTTGGCGACGGTTTACTGCATACAGTCCTCTCTTGGTCACCTTGACCGTGTAGAATCTCCGAATTATTTGTGTTCTTCCCCTCCAAATGCCTCATCGTGGGTTCCACGAAACTCCTGTGTTTATTCTCGTTATACTCTGTTAGAATGTTGTGCTGTGTCAGCAGCTTACAATATTTCAGACTTCTGTTCATTTTCCGGCGCGAATCCTTATCTCTGACCAAACTCTTGCTGATGCCACACCACAACATTGGCTTGCAGCTGTTCCAGTTCTTTCCCAGAGAGGATCGACTACCGCGGCCCCCCGACGCATATTTATTTATGAGGTGCGTTACTCTCTTCTCTTCCCTGTTGCGCGTGGACTCTCTCACACTGGTCATCGGATACAGACAATGGACACTGCATTCACTTTCAAGGCTGTTTTCAAAATTGCCTAACGTATGCCTAGGCTTTGGGCCGCGAGTGACAACCAACATATCCTCAGTTCCACAATGAAAATTGCTCTTCAAAGGCTTTTTCTCACTAACGTTAATATCATCAACGTACCTGGAAATTATCAATTTACCGTCATCATTTGTCGAGTGTAGCCTATTTTCCATGAAACTGTTCAACTTTTCATTGACAGTATGCCAGTTAGATGACTTGGTCATGTCAGACGCGTCAGTCAGCGCTGCTACCCCATCATTTATTTCCGTTAAAGATGGCGACGACTCTGCTCGGCTGAAGTTAAAGTCGGACATATTCTGAAACTGGCCAACATTGTAGGAATTGACTGTAGGCATTTTGACCGGTTTCAACTCTGGAGAATACATGCTACTTTTCTGTACATCACTCATTTCCGAATCAGACGACAGGACAATCGGATACGTCTGCTCAATGGTGGGTATTTTAGTATCGATCTGTTCTTGTGGATTTCTTGGCAAATGGGGGCTTCTCTTTGTGCTTATCTGAGGGGATGTTGATTTGACAAACGTCGTAGAATTGCGATCATTGTCGCTGGGTATGGTAACTGAAATCATTTTCGCTGCAAATTTGCTGGCGCACTCCCAAGGGTCATTTAATGTGGAATTCAAGCCCTCGTAGATGTCACCGGACTCAAATTCTGTGCTCGAATCCAGATCGCTCTTTTTTGTCAACCTTCGGAGGTAGTTGATGTCTCTCATTGTTGCAGCTTGCAGCAGTTGAAAACTGTGCCTTAGTGTTGTATCATACCTGTATACAAAAGCCAGCATTAGAATTATGTCAAAAAAAGTGTTGCTATCTATCTACTTTTACCCCACCAGGACATCACACAAGCGATAAACACTTGACTATACAAAGTGCCACCATTCGGATGAGGATCACCCGTGGAAAGGTCCCAGAAACCGCGTTCAGCCATTAGGCCATATTTATGGTCGGGCTATATTGCGGCCCCTGGCAAGAGCCAGAGTGGGGCTTCAGAATAACGAAAAATTGCATCCCACAAGGAATGACAGGATAGTAATTTTTTAGAAAGTGTTGCCTCTTGTTGTGAGCAATATATAGATAGATAAAGGGTTATGTCCCTTGTGAGTATAGCTTCCACACACACACACACACACACACACACACACACACACACACATATATATATATATATATATATATATATATATATATATATATATATACATATACATATGTGTGCCTGTGTGCACGCCAAGATTGTCATTCTGTAGGCTTCACGTCTCAAAATGAGATAAGCAGAGAGCTACAAGTCCCAGAAACCCCTTTGGAACCTATAGGACATTTATACTGGCCAATGAGCAGCACAATACGGCCACGAAGTAACCTGTAAATATATCCAAATGACAGTTATTTGAATCTTGGTTTTTATTACTGTCCTTGTTCTTGTTCTTCTTTTTCTTTTGGGACTAAGCTTCCCCCCCCCCCCCACCCCCTTCCATATTACTTGCCTCTTTCAATAAGCTTTCTATACAGCAGTGTTTACTTCCACTAGGGGCCTCAGTAACACACGGGACAGCTGCTTGGTTGGTTAATTTATAAATGACCCAGAAAACTGTGACTCAACTCTAAAGCCTAACTCACTGAGTTTGAATACTTAAAAGGAGTTTGCCTATCTCTGGGAATTTCAGCTTGAGAGAGTGACACATATGACGCAGAGTCACTTTTTGGATGCGAATCCAAAAGGATAAAATTCCAAACATCCCGTTTAATCGTATAAAGCCTTTATATTGGTACACGCAAGGTTAATAAGTAATTTGGAGTCTAACATGGTAGGGTATTATTAGTAACTTGTTATTGGCAGTAATAACTTATGAAAATAGCTTGCATAATTTGAGAGTGAGATTGACGTAAAGAGTTTCCTCCTGATCGGAAATGCAGAAAATCCGGTACAGATACACGGCATCCTCGGAAGACGGGAGTAATAAACGATTATAATAGATAAGTAACGAACCGCACAAACAAACACTGGTACTGGTCCGTTCAGGAGTTTTGGAGATATTTGTTACACGTTTGAGGGCACGACTTTCAGAACAGACTACAGCTAAGTGCAGCCTAAACCTCTTACGTATTTTCTGTGCCTGAGTGTGAAAAAATAGGGGGGGGGGGGGTGGTGGCTCAATTGGCCCAAGCCTTGTTTAAGAGTTTAATAATAATACTAATAAAGTGCTGAATAGCAAATGAATTATTGCAGTAAACTTCGGCTCACTCGCTTAAGACGAACACTCGGTTAACATGTAAAAAACTCGATTCCTAGGGATGTGTTATCAAAATACACTAGTCCCCGGTTACAGACTTTTTTTGGAATTCATGTTAACGAGGTTTCACTGTAATAAATTTGAAATAATATTAAAGCTATGACAAACACGTAGAAACAGCATTTCTATATATGGTTCACAGCCTTCTCCAGATAAATAGAGAAGGTCGTGATATGGTTGTACCTGCGTTATGCTGACGACACCGTCTTGATAGCCACAAGTTAGAAAGAACTGCAAGCATTGCTAAAGGCGGTCGTGGTAGAAAGTGATATAAGGACCTCAGATTGAATAATGGGAAGACAGAAGTAATGGTGATTTCAAAGAAAAGAATAGTGCCTAAATGTATAATAAAAGTCAGAGGCGTTATTTTAGGATGAATGCAGACATTTAAATATCTAGGCACGTGGATAATAGCCGATGGAAGGCGTGCCACAAAGATAAAGAACAGAAATGAACAAGCCCAAACTGCCTTTTATAAAATGAAAAACATTTTATGCAATAAATCCGTGTCATTGGAGGTTAGGAAACAAATTCTCGCATGCTATATAAAGCAAGTTTTAACATACTGCTGTTAATCCTAGACAATTAATAAACAAGCCGAACAATATCTTGAGACCGCGGAGATTTGGTTTTTACAAAAGAATCCTTAGAATTCCCTGGACAGCTAAGAAGAGAAACCAAGATGTGTTCAAAGACGCGAGTGCTCAGAAACAACTTATCACAAACATCAGAAAGAGACAACCATAGTTTTTTTTTTTTTTCTTTTTGATCATTTAATGAGAAGAGAAAAACTGGAACATGTTGTGACCACTGGAAAGATCTGTCACTCACTAACTTTTTTCAGTGATACTGAAAATTCTGCGCTACGTCATTCGCCTGGTCCTATAAAAATATAAAATTCCGAATCATGCTGACGGAACATTCCAAACCACATACCTCACCTGATTCCGTGCTGACAAAACATTCTAAACTACACCACTATCCTGATTCTGTGCTGACAGAACATTCCAAACCACACCACTCACCTGATTCTGTGCTGGCAGAACAATCCAAACTACACCACTCACCTGATTCTGTGCTGGCAGAACATTCCAAACCACATTACTCACTTGATTCTGTGCTGGCAGAACATTCTAAACCACACCACTCACCTGATTCTGTGCTGACGGAACATTCCAAACCACATACCTCACCTGATTCTGTGCTGACAGAACATTCCAAACCACATCACTCACCTGATTCTGTGCTGACAGAACAATCCAAACCACACCACTCAGCTGATTCTGTGCTGACAGAACAATCCAAACCACACCACTCACCTGATTCTGTGCTGACAGAACATTCCAAACCATACCACTCACCTGATTCTGTGCTGGCAGAACAATCCAAACCACATCACTCACCTGATTCTGTGCTGACAGAACAATCCAAACCACACCACTCACCTGATTCTGTGCTGACAGAACGTTCCAAACCATACCACTCATCTGATTCTGTGCTGGCAGAACAATCCAAACCACATCACTCACCTGATTCTGTGCTGACAGAACAATCCAAACTACACCACTCACCTGATTCTGTGCTGACAGGACATTCCTAACCACATCACTCACCTGATTCTGTGCTGACAGGACATTTCCACCACACCACTCACCTGATTCTGTGCTGGCAGAACACATTTAACACTTCCATCAAGCTGTCTTTGTTGTTTAATTCAAAGTCAGTCAAATCCATTTTAGCGAACTGAACATCTGATTCCAGTTGTTCCTTGCGGGCCTCAAGGAATTCTTTTCTAATTTCCAAGTCCTTTGAATGTAAAATATTTAACGAAATCTTTATGAAGTTTAAACTCTTGTTCTTCCATCCCACCCCGTTTTTCCCCCCTGTCCAGATTGGTTCTTCTTTTTCTTAACGCTCACTGACATTAAACAGGGATCGATCCAGGTACCAGGTAAAGTCCTGGGAAGTAAAGGCGGCCGATATGATGTTGACCATATCACCGATCAAGCGCCGATTGGTATATAAAACGTGAAAATGTCCTTGATTTAGTACTTTACTTATTAAATGGAATGCGTCTGTGGTTTAGTGGTTATACTTTTCTAAAACCCACTGCTGGCTGCATGGATTTTTATCGTGGTATGGGGCGTCGCAGGTAGACCCGCCTAAAATGGGTACGAGGATGTACGTCCTGGAGAAGTAAAGACGGCTGGCATAATGCTGACCACATTACCCATCTAGTGCCGATTGGTCTGTAAAAATATGGGATGCTCTTCCCAGATGCACGATGCGCCTAAGGCGTGGATAATGATTTTTACTTGACTTTTTATGAATATCATACCATTCAGAAAGCAATGACCAATTTCAATAATCCATTGACTTCGCTCATCAACGTTCTCCTTAGGGTTTCTCTGGGATGTCCTCGTTCCTTTCATCTATTTTCCATGTCACTGCCTGTCTGATGATTCTCTGTTCATCTTTTCTCAGAAAATATAGCGCCATCTTCTCTGTATCATAACTGTTATCACTAGTAATCTCAAACTACTGAACGTAGAACTTTCCAGTTAAACAATCAACAAATGCTGGGGCGGGATGGCCGGGTTTTGTAAAGGATTTCCAGCTAATTTGCTAATTAGTTAAACTTTTAAGCAAAGCTGTGTTTTGTAGTGCAGCATTTTAATCTTATGCTTAAGCCATTAATTATATCGCCTACTGGCTTTTTAGCCAGATCACAGGTTTTGCAAGAAACGTCTGATCTGATTGGTGCCCGTCTCCTGCCAGGTAAAATATCGCAGTTACATGCTAAGAACAACTCAAGTTGAGGCTGGGTCATAAATACCAGTATCAGAAGGAAGGTCATAAATACTAGCATTAGACGTAAGGTTGGAACAAGCTCTGTGTCTGAATGAGTGGTATCATTCAGTACAAAAGGCAGCGCTCCACTTCATTACATTTATATATATCCTAGGACATGCCAGTGTGAAAGGCAAAGAGGGCGGAAGATATTGCAGGCAAAGACACCTTAGGAAATAAAGCTTCTATGGACAAAATGGACATAATCAATGCTAGACGCGAGTCAGCGCATGCTGAAGATCTCAAAGTAAAGATAATCATTTCTCTCTCAGTTGCGAGGTCTAGCTATACCAATTGGAGCAGCGCGACGTGAAAACAGTGCAAAACCTTACAGTCGTTACATCACCTAACATAGAGCAGGAGTCGACAGCATAAACAGACAAAGAAACATACTTAAGAGAAGTTCTGAGCACTTGTGGGTATGCTTGACGTACATTGAGGATGCTCTTGAAATGAACAATGAAGGATGAACAAGGTGTCTGAATTACATTGTAAGACAGATAGAAGTGGTTTGGCCATCTAATAAGACTGTCGCCAGACAAAATTAAATACGAGACTTTCTACAGAAGAACATCTAGGCGGAAGGCGAGAAAAAGAAGACTAAGGAATAACTTAATAGAAGTTGTATCTTAAATCTGCAGAAAGATGAACAAAGCCGGCAATCAAGTCAATCAAACAGCACAAGGTAAATACAGAAACTACCACGAAACTTGACCGCTTCAACAGTACGGCGACAAAAGAAGAAGCAAAACATGTTAAATTAGTTTAATTTAGCGGCAGAAATAAAAATAACTAAGCAATAGCAATTGCAAATATGTGTGACCTTTTTTTGAAGCTGTCTCCTCCACATCAAACCTTCACTGTCTTCTTTATTTGATATGGCTTCTATCTCGGCGTTTACCTGGTCCAGATGCATCACAGTGGCATTCAGTCTAGGGA